CAAATCCTCACTGTGCCTTGGATGCTCACGGGGTGACCGTGGGCCGGCCAGTCACTCACACACACACACTCTCTCTCTCTCTCTCTCTCTCTCTCTCTCTCTCTCTCTCTCTCTCTCTGTGACTAACCTACCTCACAGGATTGTTGTAAGGGTAAAAAAAATGGGGGAAAGGAGAACCATATTTGGGGCTGTGCCTCAGGGGCAGAGCCTCTGCTTGGCATGCAAAAGGCATGTGCATTCAGTCCTCAGCATCTCCAGTTAAAAGGACCAGGCGAGAGGTGATGGGAAAGACCCCAGCCTGAGACCCTGGAGAGCTGTAAAGAGGGGCTGTGGCTCAGGGGTAGAGACTCTGCTTGGCATGCAGAAGGTCCCAGGTTCAATGCCTGGCATCTCCAGTTAAAAAGGACCAGGCAGGAGGGGATGGGAAAGACCTCCGCCTGAGACCCTGGAGAGCTGTAAGGAGAGGCTTTGGCTCAGTGGCAGAGCCTCTGCTTGGCATGCAGAAGGTCCCAGGTTCAATCCCCGGCATCTCCAGTTAAAAAGGACCAGGCAGGAGGTGATGGGAAAGACCTCAGCCTGAGACCCTGGAGAGCTGTAAAGAGGGGCCATGGCTCAGTGGCAGAGCCTCTGCTTGGCATGCAGAAGGTCCCAGGTTCAATCCCCGGCATCTCCAGTTAGAATGGACCAGGCAGGAGGTGATGGGAAAGACCTCTGCCTGAGACCCTGGAGAGCTGTAAAGAGGGGCCGTGGCTCAGGGGCAGAGCATCTGCTTGGCATGCAGGAGGTCCCAGGTTCAATCTCCAGCATCTCCAGTTAAAAAGGACCAGGCAGGAGGTGATGGGAGAGACCTCCGCCTGAGACCCTGGAGAGCTGTAAAGAGGGGATGTGGCTCAGTGGCAGAGCCTCTGCTTGGCATGCAGGAGGTCCCAGGTTCAGTCCCCGGGATCCCCAGTTAAAAAGGACCAGGCAGGAGGTGATGGGAAAGACCTCCGCCTGAGACCCTGGGGAGACCCTGCCAGTCTGGGCAGGCAGTACAGACCTTGATGGACAGATGATAGAATTTAGTGTAAGGCAGCTTCATTTGCGTTTATATGGATGCACAACTCAGACAGAAAGAGGAAGCTGCACCTGTTGGATTTCTCTGTGTTCATTGGTTGGTAAAGTCTACTGGAGAGCTGGCAGTAAAAAGGGCAGCCAAGATGCATGCAGGGAAACACTGATCGCATGTCCGGGGTCTCCTGGCTGGAGCGCAAAAGAGAACCTCTGCAGATGGATGCAATTTGATTTGGGGGTGAGTCAGAAACGGGGGGTTCCCTTTTTGCCCCCCCCCATCAGAGCCCCTGGAGAAATCAGTTCCCAACAACAGTCATTCATCCGAGGGAAAGACCATCCGAGGGAAAACTCTATGGTCCCCGCCCCCAGCGTGCCCGGCGTGGTTACGTCACTTCCGGGTGACGTGGGCCCCGCCCCCAGCATGCCCAGTGTGGTCACGTCACTCCCGGGTGACGTGCACGTCGGGGTGGGGTTCCCCGCCCCCCAGGGGGACTTGGCAAGCCTAGTCATTCAGAAGAATTACAGTTTATTGAGACATTGATAGGATCCAGACTCTTAACAGTCCTTTGTTAGGACTGAGGCCCAGTGCAGGAAGCAAGCAATTAGACCTAAATCAAACAGGACATTAGTGGCCCTGGGCCAATCGCAACTTATAATTCTCAGGGGAAAGAGAATACCAGGGACAGTGAGATCTCAGGGTTACATGACTGAGTCAAGACAGATAACAGCATAGTGGCCAGAAATGGAAGTCTACATTCTTGTTCTCAGCCCCCACGTCTCCATAGCAACCAAGGGGTCAGGTTGACATTCCCAAAAGAGATGGTTGGGGGAGCTCGCTCAGGGTACATGCTTGACTATAGAAGATCTGCTCCTGCCCGCCACCTCCCACCTTGCGCTCAGTCCACCGGGAAGTTTTCCTGCACAAGGGCAAGGGAGCAGCGCATGGCACAGACCGTGCCCCTCGCCTCGACTCACCCAGGCAACGCGGTCGGTCATGTCTCAGCGAACACTCCGGCTTGCCCCGCACACACAGGCAGGTGGTGCAGGGGTCCTGATCCCAGGACGCGCCGTCCTCGTGGCGCCGCCCTTCCCAAATGCAAGCCAGCCGCCGGCATTCGCACTCCTCCAGGGACTTCACGCGGCCCAGCAGGTTGGAGTTCTGGGGACGGAGGCGGAGTTATTCCGGAAGTGGACGGAGGGTCGGGTGCAACGCTCCCTCTCAGGGGTCATTTCCTGCGGGAGCGCACAGGAGCGGAGCTCCGGCAGTAAGGAGCCCAGGGGGCAGGCACATGCAACAAGCCCCGCCCCCTGCTCCCAACAGCCCTCAGTCGGGCCACGAGGAGCAAGAAGCAGCCAGGTAAGTTGCAGAGCCCCCCCACACACACACACCTTCAGGTACAAGCTCTCCCTCCTCTGTGAGGGCAGATCTGCACGTCCCCCCCCCCCCAACAGCC